TAGAGGCTAGATTAGTCGGGATCGGGATTTCTCGGTTTGCTTGTGCTAGGGTTTGCTTGCCCTTGTGAGTTTTCTCTTTGGTTCGTATTTCTCCTTTTGGCTTTTGTTGCTTGGTGTTTCCGTTGTGTTTGCTTGTGCGTTGGTGGGGTGTAGTATCTAGTTTCCTTTTCATGCGTTAAGTGTTTCTGTGGTCTTCGTCTCCTTTGTTGAAGTTTATTGATCGAATATTCAGCACCTTCTTGTAAGGTCTTCGTTTATTTTGTCGGGAACACTTGACGAGGGATTCAGCACCACGGCTTCTTGACTAGGGATTTGGGAGCTAGGTATTTCTGCTGTTTGGGTTTGATGTCTGATTTTGTGAATGTTATTTTGGAAGAATCTTCATCCCAGGATTTCGCCKATGTAATCCTGGATGAGACGGTTCCTTGTGCGATGAAAGGTGTTAATGTTGGACCGTCTCAAAGGGTCTCGGTGTGGGAACGTCTCTCTCCTGCAATTGTGGGTGTGCAACCACCTTCTAAGTCCTTTGCTGATATTGTGGGAGGATCATCTAAACAAGAACTTTCTTATTTTCCGGTTGAGAAGAGTGTGAAACCGCAGATCCATTTTCCGTTGGAAGCTACTAAAGGTATCGCCAATTCTTTCAAGTCGGTACTTTATGGGTATTTCCTTGGACCTCGTCTTCCTTTCCCTATTGTCCTTCGTGCGGTTCAGAATGCTTTGGGAAAGTTTGGTCTTCTTGATGCTATTGTTAATGTTCTGGGTTATTTCTTTTTTCGTTTTAATGATGATGGTGGGTGCAACCAAGTGGTTGAGACGTCTCCCCTTATGATTAGAGGGAGGCCGCTGTTTGTCTCTTTCTGGGATCTCTCAAAGGGTCTTGAGAAACCCGAGCACAATTCTTGCCCGTTATGGATTAAGTTTTTTAATATCCTTCTTGTTGCTTTTAATAGAGAGGGTATTAGCCGTATTGCTAGTGCTATTGGTGTTCCGTTGCGTTTGGATGCTTGTACTGCAAGCACTTGTGATAAAGCGTGGGGTCGAACTAATTTTGCTAAAGTGTTGGTGGATGTTTGGGCTGTGGGCGAAATACAGCGGAATATTGAAGTGGTTATCCCACGGCTGTCGGGTACTGGTGAGGAATATTGGGTTCCTTCCCAATGTTCGATATGCAAAGTTTTTGGTCATCGTACGGCGTCATGTATAAAAGGGGATATTAAAAAGCCAAAGGTTTCTGATATCTTATCGAATAATGAGGGGTTTAAAGAGATTAGACGGAGACATTGGAGGCCGAAGGATAAATCAGGACCAAAGGATGTTCAGGCGACTTTGTCGAGTGCGACTTCAGGTAAGCATGACACGTTAACTGGGGTTGGCACTATAAAACAGGTTCATGAGGTATCGAGTATCTCAGGGGATCATACCAAGGACAAGGATGCTATAAGACCTGCTGCTTCTAAAGCTTTGGATGGAAAGGGTGTCGAAAAGGTGGACAGTCAGCTTTGTACGGTGGATGCTGGGAGAACGCCAAAGGGAAGAGATGCTATTCCAATTGTTAAAATTTTATCAAAGGGGGTCCGGAGTTGGTACACACGGTGGTACAAGCTTTCAAACCAAGAAGAGGCGCTGTACATGACATGAATACTAGTAATCGGTTTTCTTCATTATCTTCTGACGATTCTAGTGATGATGATGATATGGAGATCATTGATACCGAGGGGCACATTATGGACAAACGTGGAGAGGAGATTCTTAATTCTTCATCTCAATGATAAAGTTCGCCGCATGGAATATTAGGGGTTTAAACGCCCTAATAAAGCAGAAAGAGGTACGTGATTTAATTCATCTCAARCATCTTTCTTTATGTTGCATTATTGAGTCCAAAGTTGTTCATAGTCACCTGGGGGATGTGTGTAGTAGARTTTTTGGTAATTGGAGTTGGATTAYAAATGGTTCTATGTGTGACCAAGGCAYGCKTCTGATTATTGCATGGGACCCGTCAGTGTTATCTTTGATAATGATTGAGCAGCACCCACAATATGTCCATTGTGAAATTAGGATTATTGGTCAACTTGATCCTATTTTTATTTCTTTCGTYTATGGGTGTAAWAYGGGAGTGGAAAGGCGTGAGCTTTGGCGGGATATTGGTAAATTTCATGCGTTTAGTCAAAGGAAAGCATGGGTTGCGATGGGTGATTTCAACTCAATGCTTTTTCCTCATGATGGGTTGGGGGGTTCCTCTAGAAGAAACTCTGATATGGAGGAGTTTCATCTTTGTCTGGAAGAGGCAGAATTGTTTGACATTTCGTATCAGGGATGCCAATTTACTTGGATACAGAAACCTTCTGGGGGTGACGGTGTTATGCGTAAACTAGATCGTATTTTGGRAAATTCTGCTTTTATTACTAGATTTGGGGACGCTTCGGTTTTCTTTGAACCAAGGGGGATCTCCGGCCACTCTTCGGGTATTCTTTCTTTTAAAGTTGGTCGATGTATTCGCCAGCGTGGATTTAAGTTTGATAATTTTGTGACTTCTCATATGGATTTTCTTAAATCTATGGAGGAGGTGTGGATGAAACCTTAGCGAGGATCTTATATGAAGAGAGTTCTTCGAAAATTGCAAGCTATGAAAGGGGTTTGTCGTCGACTCCGAAATTCTTATGGGTGTTTGGATAAAAGGGTGGTTCAGTTAAAGTCGGAGCTTGAGGTTGCTCAATTGGCTTGTGATCTAGACCCGTTTAATGATTTGCTGAAAGAGGACATTGCTCACCTCTTGTTAGCATATCAAAAAGCTAGAAATGATCAAGTGGACATTGAGGATAAAGAAACAGATGCTTCTAATAGAAATTTTTGCAAGGAATGGATTTACTCACTAGACCCTTCTGGTCTAACCCTCATTTTCTGTCTTTAAAATATGTGATGCAGGAATGACGGGGTCCAGGGATAATAAGGGGAAAGGGAAAATGTGATTATTTTCCTAACCTGTTATCTGCTTTTGAAGATCTTGCTTTTGATGGCTTATTTTGAAGATACATGTTGTGTTACATGTGTTAATACAGGATTCGTTTTGGAATTTTTCATATGTAGATTTTGTACATATAAGAATCCTTGTACTAGTGGGACCTTATGTTGTAAACTATATTTCTATGTAATGAAATATGTGTTATATGCAAATGTGGTGTTTGGGGGAGTTACACTTTGTTCGTTTCTCTATAATCTAGCCACTTGTAGCCATTGCATAAACAACCCTCTATTCACTTCCGATGAGGACATTGAAAAATCTGAGTTTGGGGGAGGGTACCAACATGGTTATATTGATCAAAGCAAAATGCAAAAAGAGCACAAAGTGCCAAAAGTGGAGATCAAAATGCACAAAGTGCATAAATGTCCCATAGGGGCAGGTGTAAACACCACAAATGTCCCATAGGGGCAGGTGTAAATGCATTCAACAAAAGAGCACAAAGTGCCAAAAATTGAAAAACAAATTCAATGTTGATGCATAAAAGTGAGAAAAGGCAAAGAGAGGAAAAAATATGTCAAATGAGAGTAAACCAGTGACTTCCAAGTCCTATTGATCTTAGACATACGATGCGTTGAGCTTAACAAAGAGCAAATAAAGCTAGCTTATGGTTCATACTAATGGTTAGATAGGACATGCTTACATGGGATTTATGAAAGCTATATTTTGCATTTTTGGTATTTTATGTGCGTGCACTTGCTGCCATTTCTTGCAAAAATTTTAAAAATTGAGTCATTTTTAGTTGTCTTTTGGTTGCTTGGGGACAAGCAACAGTTTAAGTTTGGGGGTGTGATACGCACTAAGTATTTAGTGCTTAAAGCACCATTTTATTCTCTTTTAGATATGTTATTTTCCATTTATATCCCAACTTTGAGTCATTTTATCTTTTTTCTCTATGTTTATGCTAAAATGAATGATGAACCTGTTTTTGTTGGATTTTGGTGTAATTTGAACTTATTTTGGAAAGGTCGAAGTTGTTTGATACTGTGGGAATGTGGCAGCATGACTTGATGGTGGAGATATAGAATGAAAAGTGTAATATTCGGTTACGAGTTTTGAATTAAGATTTTTGGAATATATATATATTTATATATATATATATATATATATTTATATATAATATTTGTATATGAGTAGGATGTGTGAGTGTGGGTGATGAAGTTGCGAACAACCGACTTTTGAAGGCGGCCATACACTTGCTATTTAGCAAGTGTATGTAAAAAGAAAAGGATTTCTAGTTTTTGAGAATTTTTCTGCATATTGAGAGAAAAGACTGAAGATAAAACGTTGGCTTAATCCGATCATCAATCTAAGGTGACTGTATATTGCTTTAAAGTATTGGTTATTACTTCTTTTACTACTAGAATCTGCTATTTATGAACTGCATTTCATAAATATTTGGTTAAGTCCTTAACCGGACAAAGAGTATCCGGAGTTCTCCTTAAACCGGTCAAGAGGTGACCGGATTTCATTTAAACCGGTCAAGAGGTGACCGGATTTTCCTTAAATCGCTCATGTGTCATCCGATGAAAGCCTAAACCGCCCAAGTGTTGTCCGGATATCTCTTTAAACCACCCAAGTGTTAACCGGATTAAGAGCTAAACCGCTCAAGCCATGTCCGATTTATCTTTTTCTACTCTATGTTTGGTCTTGTCAGTCAACTTCTAGTCTTTTTGTAACAACTCTCAATTTTCCATTTCATATCAAAAGTTTTAACACATTAGCCGGATTTGAAGTCCGGTCAACCTTGTCCGGATTTGAAGTCCGGTCAACCTTGTCCGGATATGAAATTCGGACAATTACTTACAGTAGAATGAAGGATTATTTGGATTCTTTAATAGATAAGGCACAATCGGCTTTTATCCGTGGTCGGAAGATTACGAATAATATTATTATGGCTCATGAGCTAGTTCCTGGATATTAGACTAAGACTGGTCCTCCTAGATGTGCTTTAAAGATAGATATTAAAAAAGCTTATGATATGGTGGATTGGCGGTTCCTCGTTATTATGATGCAGGGTTTGGGGTTCCATCCGGTTATGGTTAAGTGGATATGGGAGATGGTGTCTACTACTTCCTACTCTCTTGCGATTAAAGGTGAATCTTATGGGTTTTTTCGTGGTGGTAGGGGTCTTAGGCAAGGGGATCCTTTATCTCCATATCTTTTCACGATCATGATGGAGGGATTTTCTATGATCCTTAGGAATTGTATTCGGGAGGCTTCAGATTTTGAGTACCATCGGGGTTATGAGGAGCTGGACTGGACTCACCTGTGTTTTGCTGATGATTTATTTGTTTTTACTAAAGGTGATGTCCATTCGGTGGAGGTGCTTAAAAAGGCTCTTCTCTCTTTCAACAACGGTCGGGTTTAGAACCAAGTCTTGTAAAGAGTGAGATCTATTTTGGGAATGTGCCACCTAATATTAAGGAGGCTATTCTGGCGTGTCTTCCTTTTAAGCTTGGATTGTTTCCTGTCCGTTATTTGGGTGTACCTTTATCTCACGCTCGGTTGAAGATCAGTGATTATCAGCCTTTGATTGCTAAGGTTAAGGGATTTAGGTGATCAATTGCATGATGATGCCTAGACTTAAACTATTTTATTGCATATTAGGGTCCCAGACATAGTTAGAACCATTGAAATAAATATGATAAGTTAAGAGGTCAGTGTGTAAGGTATTTTCGGATTACATCTGGCCAATGTAATTTTGAATCTACAGKTACATAACTGAACTTGGACACTTTATTATATTTGGGAATGTGAAAAATGTGTGTTTTAACTTTRATATCTACAKATGGCAAGTCGGTCCAGAAGATCACAAAGACTAGCCCATCCTGATCTTAGTGAAGCAGAAAATTCTCCCATCGAAGCCCCTATTAGTACCTCACGAGGAAGAGGCAGGGGAAGAGGGAGCAATCAAACAAGGGAAAGAAATTATCAATCAGAAGGTTATGGTAATCAAGTAGAATCCAACTCTGGGGATGACAATCCAGAACCAGCACCACAGCCAGAATTTGTAACCAGAAATATGCTRGCTGAAGAAATGGGAAGGTTAAGAGAAACCTTAACATCAATATTGAGAATGCCTACAAGRGTGGAAACAGAACGAGTAGAGATAAATTCTTCCATACCAACACCAAACACAAGAGGAGRGGATATTAAAATGTTTCTAACATGCAAACCACCAGCTTTTACGGGTGAGCGAGATCCTGTTAAAGCTATGTGTTGGATAAAAGAGATTGAATCAGTATTCAATACCATACGTTGTCCAGAAGCCGACAAAGTCAAGTTTGCTATATCAGTTCTAAAATCTAATGCTTTGTATTGGTGGGAAACAGAGTCTCTTGGAAGGATGGATATTTTGCAAACCTTGTCATGGGCAGAATTTGTGAACAAATTTAAGGAACAATTTTGTCCCAAAGCAGCGGTTAGACAAATGGAAGAGGATTTCTTGAAGTTAGAACAAAGCTCTGGATCAGTTAGAGAATACACAGAAAAATTCATAGAGTATTCTAGATTTGCTGAGCATTACATATCCACAGAAGCAAGAAAAGTTGAGAGATATATCTGGGGTTTGAATCCCTCGATTAGAGAATTTGTTATAGCAATGAATCCTACCACATTTTCATTGGCAGTCGATGCAGCTGAAATCACAGAAAGAAATAAAAATAGAAGCGATGAAGGAAAATAAATGGAAAAGAGGAAATGGGAAGGATCTTCAACAAGATATCAAGAAACCAAGTCCTTTAAGTTCAACAAGAAACCGATGCAGAGGTCGATGGATAAGATCTGTCCTAGGTGTCGACAATATCATCAAGGAGAATGCAAACCAGAATCAATTGAATTTTACGTAAATGACTTAGTAATGTTGAAAGTTTCTCCCTGGAAAGGAGTTACGAGATTTAGGAAGAAAGGTAAACTCAGTCCAAGATATATTGGTCAATTCAAAATTTGTAAACGAGTTGGACCAGTAGCTTACCAATTGGAGTTACCAGAGGAACTTAGTCTGATTCACAATATTTTCCATGTGTCAAACCTAAGGAAATGCCTTGCTGATCCTAGTATGGCAATACCACTTCCGGAGATTAAGTTGGATGACAAACTAAATTTTGTAGAAACTCCAGAAGCTATAACCGACCACAAAATCGGTGTTTTGAGAAACAAGGAAATAAGTCTAGTAAGGGTACAGTGGCGATTTCACAAAGGATCATAAGCAACATTGGAATTAGAATCAGAAATGAAAGAAAATATCCATGGTTATTTGAATGAATTCCGAGATGGAATTCTTTTAAGGGGGAGAGAACCCAAATCCACACATATTTCATATATAAAATACATGTTTCCCCCACATAGGTCCTTGATACAAGAGTCTGTTAATATAAAATACACAACCCAAAAATTTCAAAAGTACATGCTCTTGCATCCTAGCATCTATGCTTCCAAAACAGCTAAGCATATATAGAAGTAATTCACATAACACCCTTTCCTTTATGATTACATGCACACATAATTTGAAAACACGAAAATGAGGGTTAGACATGAATGTCTAGTGAGGTTCCCTTCTATGTAATGCAGGGTGAAGATCACCAAAACGTTTATTTCAAATCATTCATCTTATGAAGTAAAATTAAAAACATGCTGCCTCGATCCATCGGACCTCTGGTTTCAAACAACACTTAGAAAATATTTCGACACAGGACCAAAACCCCTCTGGTCTCTCTTCCAGAGCTTCTGGTCTTCACGACCAGAGCCTCTGGTTCTAAACCACACTTAAAATATAATTCAACATCCAGGACCAGAGCCCCTCTGGTCTCTCTTCCAGAGCTTCTGGTTTCACGACCAGAGCCTCTGGTTGAATCAACCAGACTTAGAATATATTTCAAAATCTAAGACCAGAGCCTCTCTGGTCTCTCTTCCAAAGCTTCTGCTCTTCACGACCAGAGCCTCTGGTTGTACTAACCAAAACTTCACTCATATAAGTGATCTTTAGATAAACCCTCAATCAATAAGATAGCCTTTTTCATGAAACAAACAATTATAAAAGTTCATATTCAACCAGAGCTTCTGGTTGTACTAACCAGAGCTTTTGGTTCAAAAGACATGACCAACCAGAGCCCCTCTGGTTCAACGTATAAGTCAACCAGAGCTTCTCTGGTCTGTTTTTCATAAAAAAAACTAAGTATAGAGAATCTTTTGAAATACCATTTTAAAACAATGAATTAAAGTACTAAGCTTGCTTCTCAAAGATATAAAGCTTATTTTCCAAACTCATAAATTCATAAAAGATTTTTCATAAATAACCAGCATCCTCTGGTTCCATTATGAGGGTTAATCAGAGCCCCTCTGGTCCTTGCAAGGTATAACCAGAGCTCCTATGTTTCCTCATAATCAATACTTTTACCCAAAGCATCAACAGTCACAAATTATATTATCTCCAATACCATCACATCATTACCATCATTTCTACTAAAGACAACATCTCTAAATCCTCAAATCACCAAGAAGTRAGAACTCCAATCTGTTGTAACTCTAATAGTTATCATGGTAAGAGTTAGGCGATGCCGAGAACGTCCCTCCTTATATCCTCCAGATAATCTCCTTTGCATGACGTTCCACCCTTATATCCTCCTGCTCATTAATATGAAGTAGTTCATCCAAAGACAGACCTCAGTCACATGTCAGAGTGAACCTATTCATAATCCTCAACCAATATCATGGTTCCAACATAGGTTTATACTCAAAATCTTTTATTCTCAAGAACAATCTGTTCTCCCAAAACAGTTTAAAACTCTTGTTTTTCTGTAAACTCTTTCAAACTGTTTTAAAAACCCGGACACTGTTTAATTCTCTCCAAAACAGTTCCAACAATAGATTCAAACATCAACTTCTGAAGGCTGTTGAAGAACACAAATCTGTTTCATATTTATCAAAACCAGATTCCAAAATAGCAACATCATAAAACTGTTAAAAACAGTTTATCATCGTAACTTCAAAACCAATATCAAACTCAACAGTTGATAATCAATGGTAGTTTAAAAATTATAGTTTATACTCAACGGTAGTTTAAAACTCACCTTATCAAACAACTTTCTTGATGAAAATCACACAGCAAAAGCTTTAATCTTAGCACAGAATCTTCAAGAACACTTTTCACCGCCACAAACTTTCTTTCTCTTTCAATTAAAATGATAAGATAAAATCTTATCTTTTATTTCTTTAAATACTCTCACCAAGGCGGTGAAGATTATTTTAGTTATAAAAACTCAAAGGCGGTGAAAGTTTCATCCAATAGAAATAATCTTTGGCGGTGGTTTTGCATTATAAAATTCATGATCACTTAACCATGAAGATATAAGTTTTTCAATAATAAAATAATGATTCCACCCGAATCATTTAAACACAATAAACACCACCTCGTGTATGCTTCACACCACATGCATACATGTATAAATCATTTATGGCATGTCATCTTTTCACATATATGCATACACAATATCATGTATTTCAACTTAGACATGCATATTTCACGTAAGCCACATAATAAGCAAGTATAAATTACCTCAACTCAGGTTATGTGAAACCCGGTTATAACATACCAAGCAATATCCGACAGATTAATGAACAAAACAAAGATCGATCTTACCTAGAAAAGCAACTAGATCGACGAAGGAGGCCAAAACAGGAGCCAAAACATGACCAAGGCTGTTGACGGCGAAACCCTAGCAGATCCCACGGAAAACCAAGACGAAATAGCAAAGCAAAGAATCAAACATGCAAGCGAAATCAACCAGACATGATCCAAGCAACGAAACTCTTTACCATGAACACCATCTGTAATGTTTGGTTATTAATGAGTAAGTACTTATATATATAGTATAAGTAATTTTGGGTGATGTATGTGTGTGAGTATGCATTGGCGGCTATGCACTTGTTATTTAGGGTTGGATGAGTTTTCTTTAGAAAAATTTCAGAGAAGAGCTTCACAGTCTCTAAACCGGTCAAAAGCAAGCAAGGTGAGTGTATTAAGTTTTATGAATTACATAATTCATTTATTGTTAGTATTTGATTTTGATGAATTATCTTTTATATCAATTGGAACTGTTCTAAACCGGATGAAGGCTCTACCGGATATATCTTAAATCGGACAAGAGTCATCTGGTGAAACCCAAAACCGGATGAAGGTTATCCGGATTAACCCTAAATCGCTCAAATGTCGACCGGTGTAAATCTAAACTGCCTAAGTGTCAACCGGGGTAGTCCTAAACCGTTCATTTGTCGCCCGATATAACCATAAACCGCTGAATACATTATCCGGTTTAAGCTAAACAATTCAAGCAATGTCCGGATTACCCCCTTATGATTCTAAGTAATTAA